ATTTCTCACTTATGAGGTTTCATGATGATAATAATAATAGTCATGATCATAATATATTAATAAGTGATAACATCATCATAGTTATTATTAGTAGTAGTATTATTACAGCAACTTGACATAAATGTGTAAAGATAGAAATGTAAATGTTAATAAAATGTATAAATATATAAAATATTGTTGTTAATATTAATAATAAATTAATAATCATCTGTCAACTTGCCAATTTGACTATTATTGTTGTCATTATATAATAAATAATCATTATATATTTATATTATAAATATATATTATATTAATTACTAGTGTTTTAGTAACTTAACATGGGTAAATGTTAATTACATTTGAAAGTATATAAAATATTTAAATATTTAAAATTATTGTTCCTTATTTAATAATAACAATAATAGTCAAAGTATTATGAATTTGTCTGATGATTATGTTGATTAATTATTATTAACAGTGATGGAACCTCATAATTTAGCTGCCTATGTAGACAGTAAGGAAGATCACTAGAACAGAGCTTCAGTTAGTTTTACAGGAAGTCTGGACCCTGTGCATCACTGTCCCTCTGATTTCAGACTCGACTACATGCAAGACAAGGGGAAAAACAATGAGTAACAATCTCTTTCCGTAAATTTGAGTTTGCCTTGCAGAACTGTGTTATAGATACTGGGCTACAGCTGGAGCGTCAGAGTGACTCCGAAACCTTGCCTACATGTCCTCTCTTGGCTTAGTTGGGAAATATCCGGACTGTGTTGTGATTAGAGAACTGATCAGGTCCGTTTGTGTAATCTAGCAGCCTGGACTCTGGCTCCATCTCCCATCCAGCCCAAGCTTCAGCTGTCTACCAGAGCACAGAATAAAGTCTCCCAGGAGCAGCAAGTTAGGTAGTTACACAATATTTAAAGGGATATCATAAAATTATCTGGTAACACTTTACAATAAGGTTCATTAGTTAGCATTAGTTAACTAGTTTAGTTAACATGAGCATGAACAATACTTCTACAGCATTTATTAATCTTTGTTAATGTTAATTTCATTCATTATTAAAATCAAAAGTTGTGCTTGTTAACATTCGTGCACTGCTAACTAACAATGAACAACTGTATTTTCATTAACTAACATTAACAAAGATTAATAAATACTGTTATAAATGTATTGTTCATTGTTTGTTCATGTTAGTTAATACATTAACTAATGGAACCTTATTGTAAAGTGTTACAAATTATCTTATCATTGTAAATCATTATTTATTTTCTCATATTGAATCAAGCTTGTATGGTTTTTTCAGTGGAACATAAAACATTGGTCGCTCATTTCCATGCAGTAGCAATGAATGGGGCTTTCAAGCTTCAAAAATATGAAAAAGTGTCATAAAAGTAGTCCTTATGAATTGCAGAAGTTGTCTGAAGTCATGTGATACAGTAGCTTTGTGTGATGAACGGACTGAAATCAAGGACATTATTTATTGAAAATCTTACCAATGTACTTACTTAAATGAACCATTACCAATCATTACCTATGACCATTTCATGAACGAATCATTCTTTTCAGTCTTCGATGAATTGGTTGATCTGTTTCGCAAAACTGGTCTAAATGATTTGTTCACAAACTCATTGATTCAGTGATCCAGTTGCAGCAGTTAGCAGCTCACTGGAGGGAAACATTAGCAGAACATAACTAAAATAGCTTTTTCTCACACAAATCAGTTGTATGGCTTCAGAAAAACGATGCTAAACAGTGGTCATTTGCTTACAGAATCTTAAAGGCATGGATAGGGCTGGACGATAAAACAATAATGATAATTATCGCGATATAATTGTCCTCAGTAAAACAATAATAAGAGTTCAATTAATGTTCGATATAATGTTTATACACCAAAAGCGGAGTGAATTATTTAAACTAGTTTAAAGTCAGATAAAACAGCGCTGACAAACAGCAGAAACACTATGCGCAACGATACAGTCAGAAAGCTTTTCAGTCTACAAATTGCCATCGTTTACTATAGATTTACCTTATAACACTAACTGCACCATGGTATTGTGGCAGAAATGTGGAATATTCATATCTATTGTTATTATATTATTAATGTAGATGTGTTAAATGTATTAAAGGAGTAATGGAATACAATTACAGTATTTTTTCTGATTAAGCTAAGTTTTGTGCATTTATACTAAATCTTTTTAGACCACTGTTTTTCACACAAATACCTAGAAACCATATACAGTTACATTTTTACCATGGTATTGAGGTGCTATATGTGTGGTTTTAACTGAGGTTATCAGGATTTAAATGTATGCTACTATGGACGACCAATGGTTAATCTGCATCCTAACTCAAGGTACTACTACTGTCAACTCAAGCTTCTGTCAAATGTGCATTTCTAAGTGACAAAAAATTTAACATTATTAATATTGCAGCCTGCACTGCAAACTGTGCTGAAGATAAGCATCATCAAAGTCAGGCAACACTAACCTGTTTCATGATTTGAAACAATATCACTCATTAGAACATGCAAAAATTCATAATTCAAAAATATTTATTTTAAGGAAAAATGACTGGAAAATTGTAAAGAATTCAAAAACATGAAGTGTTTGTCAAGCTTTAAAACCACAATTAACAGTCTGGTTTCTACATCTTTCTACAACAAGAAATAAAGATTTTATCAGAATAATTATCGATATAATTTTTATTGTGATAATTAATTTTTTGGGCCATATCGCCCAGCTCTAGGTACGGTAGCAAAAGCAACAATTCCAATATTCCAATAAAACAATTGCCCAATATGGCCCCATTGAACAGACATTAACTATAAAAGTCTTTTGACATTGCTCTTTGATGTTCTCAAAGACAGCAGATGTCCTCTGTTTTGCTTCACTGTAAGTTGTAATGCTGTGAGCACCTATGCCACCAATTATGTAGCTTCCCAGGCCTTTTACAAAAGCAGTCGCAAAACTTCCTCAAAGAGGTTGTAAATCAGAGCATGCTCATTCAATTACACAGTGTTCAGAGGCCCTACGCCACCAGGGCTGGGATAATTATGTGTTATCAATGTTCTGTTCTCCCTCTAACTGGACCTATAAATCAACAGCCTCTGCTCTTTGGTGTGTATAGGACAACTGTTACTATAGCCACATCCCTAATGACTCTGTGTGGCCATTGTGCTTGAAAGGTGGGAGGAATGGAAGGACAGTAGATGGATGAGTCTTTTTAATGAGTGTATATGCTGCAGATATTCTGTGATGCAGAAGGTTTATTTGATGCTGGAGGTGCTGTGCAGTAATGGGGCTGCATTGACTTATATGGCCCAATTTCTCACAAGGGAGAGTGATTTATAACTGTTGCATGCTGGGCAGATGAGCACTCCAGATGTGCCCCATGACCGCTCTCCCCCGTAAAAAGCCTGAAAACAGAGCAGGATGCACACACAAACTCATCACAGTCCGCACTGTGGCTGATGAACCTGGGTAGAGCATATCATACTAGCTCTCTCTTAGTCATGCTTGAGGGTGTCACGACGATTCATTGGCTCAGGACGTCCTTGCCGCTGGTTGTGTAATAGCTTTCCTGCCATTTTAAGAATGGCCCACTTCTAGTCCAGATGTATCTGAGCTCTAGAGTCTGCTGGTGTCTTCATTCATGAAGTGTGACTGATGCATCTTCCCTTACATATTTCTGGTGTTTTCACTTGCTTTCACTGAGACCTGCTGCACTTTAGAAATTGTGTGCATTTGATTTTTTCACTAAAACGGTTTAGTGGAGGATTGTTCAAAAGGAGGCTAATCGTGTAGCAAAATGAGTGTAATATTGGTTGCAGGTTGGGCTGATATGCGCACACACACATATGCATACATATGCAGAGACAGGCATAAAAGCCATCGGGCCTTATTCATAAAAAACAAGCAGAACGAGTTTCTGCGTAAATCATTCGTATAGCAGTTCTTATGTAATGGTTGCATTTAATTCAATCTGACATTTGATGTCAGAATGGATTTAATGCTTGATTAGATACATTTCTTCTGCTTGAGTTTCGTGTGGGCACATTATGATTTTTTTAAATAAAACACAGCTTTATGTACTGTTAGATCATTGTCAGATCAAACTCTGTATTATTTCTGGCTTTTATTTGGTTGATCCAAATATACACTACCATCCAAATGTTTTTAGATTTTTTTAAGAAATTAACATTTTTATTCAGCAAGGATGCATTAAATTGATCAAAAGTGACAGTAAATATATATGTATTTATGATGTTACAAAAGATTTATATTTCAAATAAATGCTGTTCTTTTGAACGTTCTATTCATCAAATCATCCTGAAAAAAATTGTGCTGTACAGTTTCCACAAAAATATTAAGTAGCACAATTGTTTTCCACATTGATAATATTAAGAAATGTTTCTTGAGCATCAAACCAGCATATTGAAATGATTTTTGAAGGATCATGTGAAACTGAAGATTGGAATAATGACATATTATTCACAAAATTTTTGCATTATTCCAACTTTTAAATTAAATTTGCAACTTGGATGGAAGCGTAGCTAACAATGAGTCATTTGTCTGTCTACACTGAAAGTGAAAAAAGGTGCACAGACATTTTTTTTGTTTGTTGATTATTAATGCTAAATTATGAATAGCAGAATTTTGCACAAATGAGATTTCAAAGCACAGTAATGACTGCAGTGTGGTTTGGTCTTGGTTAATTGGTTCTCCTCTGATAGTAGCCTGATAATTGGGCTAGGTTTAAGTACACTGATTCACTGATACAAACATCTTGTAGCTCTTACAAACTTACATAGCTTCTTGTTTTCAGTTTCCTCTTTTCCAGTCCTCCAAGTTTTGCATTCCAACACGGTGCAGCATCTTTCTGCTGAGTCAGACAGAAGCTGCAGTTATGACTGACTAAAAATAAAGCAAACACTGAAAACATCTCTTCCTCTCTTTTCCCCCCTGTATTCCTCTTCACTCTCTTCCTGTCTTGCTTCTCTCTCACAAACGCAGATGTGGAGCAGATTGCTATTGACTGGCTGACAGGAAACTTCTACTTTGTGGATGATGTGGACGACCGCATTTTTGTGTGCAGTAAAGATGGCTTGACTTGTGTCATCCTGCTGGACCTGGAGCTCTATAACCCTAAAGGGATTGCACTGGACCCAGCCATGGGGTGAGACCCCAAGAACATTATTCCTTAATCTTTGTCTGAACCAACAAAGTCCAACATCACTCATGCCACTTGGTGTTCTCTGCAGATAAAAATAGCAATAGAAAATAAATGGAAAAAGAAAAAAGCATATATATTTAACATTTTTTATAACATTAATTTCATGGCAATTAAGTGCATTTATCCCCCAATATTCAATACTATAATATGGAAAAAATCGTATTCATTTTATTGCAAAGAAAGCATAAAAAATAAATATTATTTAATTGTAAAATAATTATATGTCTGGGTAGTATTTGTTGTACATCCCATAATTTAATATATTTTTTTATGATTTTAATGAGATATTATTAAATAAATAACTGAATCTGGACAGAATAAATATAAATCGAATCATCTAGAATAAAGAACATTATTGGGCTGTCATTAACAATTATTTTGGTAATCAAGTAATCGGTCGATTATTCTAACGATTAATCGAGTAATCAGATAATTTTTTGTGGTAATAAAAATAGACCTAAGCGAATAGACTTTAAAATAACTTAAAATACATATATAATAGCAATGAGGCAATAATAATTGGTTTAAATAAAATATCAAAAGCAAATATGGTATTATTGAACAAAACAATTAAATAATTTAATAAAACAATATACTTATAAATCTGATAGAATGGTGCACATTGTTCCCAGATGAACGTTAAAAACGACTCCGACTCACAGCATATGCAAAGATGGATTTTGAGATGGTCCACGCATATAAATAAAATATATAAATGAGTACTGTTTGTGTGGAGCAGCATTTACTGTGAATGGAGCCGATCTGAGATGCACGTAACCTACCCGCATATAAATAAAGCGCATATTATACCCGCAGCGCTTATATTTATTTAATTGAATCACAGCCTTTGTGAACTCACAATAACACTTTTTTTTATTTTTAATATCATGCTTTTATGATTTTTAAATGGTTTTAATATTTCATACAGCCTTAGAAAACGGTCTAATAATGCTTTTCATGGATTCTCATCCATGGAATGCGCCATTTCCGGTGTTTTGCTGGTTAATTGTCACAAGCAAGATGCAATCGAGGATTTTTTATAATTGAGTACTCAAATTTAATTGAGGAATCATGACAGCCCTAATATTGTGAAGATCTCCTTTTCTTCTTTTCCAGGAAAGTGTTCTTCACAGACTATGGCCAAATCCCAAAGGTTGAACGCTGTGATATGGACGGCCAGAACCGCACCAAACTGGTAGACAGTAAAATTGTCTTCCCTCATGGCATCACTCTGGACCTGGTCAGCAAGTTGGTGTACTGGGCTGACGCTTACTTAGATTACATTGAGGTGGTGGACTACGAAGGCAAGAACCGGCACACCATCATTCAGGGATTACTGGTACGTGTGAAGTGTCACATGCACTTTTGTGGATGCCAAACACGTACATGCTGTTAGAGATTTGTTTGTTTGGAGCCATGAACTTGATCTCAGGATGTCACTTGCATTGATGTCATCACTCGTGAGTTTCTGGAACTGAGAACATCACATGATCAGCAGGATTGAAAGATCAGCATTAGCTCATCTAAAACCTGCAGCAGCAGTGCAAACTGAGCATTGTGCAAGTCCACAGTGTCACTTTTTTTTTTTTTTGAAGTTTTATTAAAACATTTCAGTCCTTTAGTTTACATTCAGCGTATTGCAAAAAATAAACTTGCACTGTAAATGTTAACATGGTCCTACTAGAAATTAATATGTGATGTTTCAAGACTTTTGCATAGGGATGCACATTATATAACAGTAGCATCAGTTAATCTTTAAAAATAATTATAATGGCACTCAAAATGATCTCAAAATGAATGTCCATTCTCAAACTGTACATTTAAATTGTTGTGATGCCTAAATTAATTTGCAGCATTTAAAATAATTGATTTTTAATGTGTTTTTTTTCTGTTTGTTTTTATTGATTTATTTACAGAAAATAGTATAAGTCATTGGTTCTCAACCAGCAAACTTCCAAGGGGATCTTAAAATGACTTAAAAGTCACATCTGTATTTTCAGTTATCGCTGGGATCATGCCAGAGTCCAGTATCTCTTAAACATTTTATTAAATTGTGCTGGTTTAAGTTCTCTTTGGAAATTATTACTCCACAACCACTCAAAGAAATTTTGAACGGTCAACCCTGAATCCATTTTACAGTTTTAATCTAAAGCAATTGTTAAAAATTGGATATAGAGTTTTAAATCACTCTTATATACTGGGATATATGAGGAAGCCTCATTTGTGTGATTTTTAGAACTGTAAAAGTCATGTAAATTTAAAAAAATCATAAAATACCAAGGGCATTTTTATAATGAGTATATATATATATATATATACACACACACACACACACACCCACACACACACATATATACATACATATATA